GTCTTTTATGTAAAGCTAACTGTAAAGTACTAACATAAGTAAGGTATTAGTTTTCAGACTCCTTCAAATTTACAGTTCAGATTAAAGAAAACTTGTAATGACTTTGTCTAATCCCAAACTTCTTCCTTGCTTTGCTTACTGTGCATTTAAAAATCAGCCTTTATGATGACTTTAGAGGACGTGGAGGTGTCAGTCCATCTGTTCTGTTTTTTGTTTGTTTGTTTTTTGCTGTTCTGTTTGTTTTGAAGCCCTGACACAATATACATGATTTCCTGCACATGCCTCACGCTAAGTACATGCATTATACTGTGGAGTCCAAGTGTTCAGAGATATTTATGGTGAACTACATCAAGACTTCACCATTAATTTTAGGTCCTTTTTATTCTTCTCGAGAAAGCACCTCATTGGTCCCGTACTCATTTTACAACAAGAGAAGCTCAAATATAAACATAAGAGTCACAAACAACTACAACCACAATTCCATACAAGATGTTCAAAATATAAATAAAAACAATGCAATGATACTTACCTGTTGCTATGTAACCTGATGAGATGCTAAATGTTCCTCCAGCTGTTTCTGTTTGTTGCTACTTATTTCTTCAGCCTTCTGTTGCGCTAATCGCAATGTTTTTCAGAGCTCTTGTTGTCATTGAAATTTTTTTTCTTAAAATATATATAAAATATGGGTTTATGAGATACAAAAATAGTGTATTTAACATTCATAGTTCAAAACAGTAGTCATATAATGTATGAGCACTGTTTCTGAACTATAAAAGCTGAATTTATAACCAAATTAACAGTTTATCTGTGTTCTGTTGCTCCTCGTTGGTCATCACTGCCCTGCCTCTCCTGCTCTTGGCTGTGGGAGCTCTGTCTGGTTCCTCCATCTTCCCCCTGCTGGGGTGGAGGCACAGTTGTGATAGCGATGTGTGGCCTTGGGTTTTCAGCACTCATGGGGGACCCCAGATGGCCGGAGTCTCCTGGTTCTTTCTTCTCTGCCTCTGGCTCTCCCTGTTTTCTCTTTCAGGCACTGCTTATAAGTGTGCTTTGCTACAGATGCAGCAATTGGAGACCAGCATGTCTGCTTGTTTCATCCCCCACCCCACTTCTTTTCTCTTTCTTTCTCTCCCTTTTTTTTGTCTGTTCCTCTTTTTCCTTCTATCTTTTGCCAACCTGGCCTTCTCCTCCTGTCTGCTCCAGCATAATATCCACACAGATAATATAAAAATAATGAATAAATACAATAAAAATATTAATAAAAGGAGCCTACAGAGAGTCCATAGTGCTTCTCTTGGAAAAGCGAATGTGTTTTGCACAACAAAGCAATCAGATCATGATTCTACAAACTACAAGTGTTTCATATGGCAGGTGTTTAAAAAAGATAATGTGCTGATCTGAATTTCCTTTAATACAAATACAACCAATAATTATAAATCATATAACAAACATAAATGCACCTATATTAGCCCAGTTTTTTCATATTTCACAAATGTTTGATTTTTTAGTGTAATCATGAACCTTAAAAAACCCCACATGCATCAATGCAACAGATTAAAAAAAGAAATCACTGAAACACTGAAAATGTTGCAGCTTCAATCCTCTTCCTCGGTCATCTCCATGGATACATCATGTTTGTTACCTGTGGGCAGAGTTAAGAAATCAGGATGGAGAACTGAAGTGGATGATTGGCGTATGTGTTGAAATCTAGATAAGAGAGTGTACCTCATTTCCTGCTGCAGCAGATCAACAGCAGCAGGATGGTAGAGATGAAGTATGGACAGAAAACCAGCAGGTGGCAGAAGAGTCTTAGTACAGACACAGAGGGTGAACGAGGACGAAGAGAGGAAGAGGCCGAAGGCTCAGTATTACCAGAGGGCGAGGGCGAGGGTGAGTGTGAGGGTGAGGATGAAGGAGTGTACATTATGGTTGTGTGAGGGGGAGGAGGAGGCTCTGCAAGAGACATGATGAAGATGGTTCAGTTTATTATCAGGTCAGCAGTTTAGTTTATGCTTGTGAATGAATGCTTTTCTTATTTTAAGTTCTCACTTCCTGGAGTAAAGAGAGAGAGGGATTAGTTTTAGATTTTTTTTGCCCCCGACTCATATCTTTAAAGCAGGAGTGATGTCGCTGCTCTGACCTTTGACCTTCAGCCTGCTTTGAGGAGACTGATGAATAAGAGTAGAACACGAGTAGAGCCCTTCATCAGACTGCTGCACATTATGGAGAATCCATTTTCCTTCAGGTCCATGTCCAAGTTTGTCTTTACCTCTGAAGAAATAAGATTTTTTTGCTGAACCATTTCTGGGTTTGCAGAGCAGAGTGACATTACTTCCTGTGTTCACTGGAAGCGCTGGGATCTCCAGGATCAACTGTTTTTCTGACCAGCAGAGACAAACAGAGTCATTTAGAGACAGAGGTCCACAAAGCAGAGTCATACAGAGACAGCAAGACAGATGGGAACAGATCGCTTTCTGTACCTGAAACAGCGATGAAGACTTCATCGCTCTTCTGTCCAGATGAGTTTTCACACCAGAAACTTCCACCAGATGAGACGGAGAGATCCAGAACACAGAAGGAATTATTAAACCTTCTAAAGTCTGCAGCTGTACTACAGCCCTCAGTGGATACTCCTCTGGTCCTCTTTACTCTCCATCCATCAGCTGTCTGACCATCATCGACACAACTCAGGGAGACATAACGGTCTCCTTTGAAGAACTGCTGATGGTTTGGGCTGACATACAGAGAGACTGGAGGACAGACAGAAACACAGACGGACTAAATGTATTTGTATTGTTGGTCGAGTGAATAATTTCACTTCCATAAACTCACCGGCAGAAACAGTCGGTGCAGACAGCAGCAGCACACACACACCTGCAACATGAAGACAGTCAATAAAGGTCAAAGGTCAGAGAGAGAGGAGTCTAAGTAAATTTTAGTAGTTATTCAAATTGCTGTGGGTAATAATACAGCTGTGGGATGACTATTCAATTCAGTTACATTTTATTTCTATAATACCAAAACAGTCACCTACTGACAGAGAAAACCCCAACGATCATGGTGAGGTTTTCTTCTCGAGTCATCTTTTATCCCCTCGCTTATTTATTCATTAGTTATTATTACTCTCTGGCTCCTCCACAGCATGTTTTTGGTCCCGTCTCCTTCCCCACACTTGCTCATAGACGGTCATCTGATGTTTTCTCAGTATAATTGAAGAACCTTCATCTTACAATGTAAAGCACCTTGATTCTTGTGTTTTGGAGCTGTATACATTAGATTTTATTGAACTGTATTGACATTTAGTTATAATTTCACAAGAATACACTTTGCTGGCACAGTTAAGCCCTGATAACCTGATAATCTTTTACTCATCTTCATTTAAGCATGCATCTTCTAGAAGGGAAGACGAGGCCGGTGTGTCCCTCTCCAAATCTTCACTCCTTTGTCTGTGAAACACAGTTTTGTAGGGTCGACCCTATCATAAAACCCCCCACAGTGTGCTGCAAACTCTGTCTGTGTCTATGTGCACGAGCACATGAATGCCTACATGTGCGCGTTCCCGCGTGTCTATGTGAGTGCTTGTGTGTGACTGTGTACGCATACCTGTGTGTATGTGTGAGTGCACATGAGTGAGTGTGCGTGTGGATGTGTGTGCGTGACAGTTAAAACACTGTGGGTGTAGGTGACTCCCTAGGTCATAAAACCCATCTCCCTTCCAGACCACAGTTATCCAGTTACAAATGTTGAGACCCCACCCAAACATCCTCTGGGGAATTTCCACTCAGCATTAACTCCTCTCTGTTTTACTCTCACAGTTCAAGTGGGGGAGGGGTCTCCTACAATCTACTCCTAAATTCACAACACAATGAGGCCTTTATTATATTGAGGGCAGTGTCAGTGTCTCTACAATAGTTCTATGATAACACATTTCTAAACTCTAAAATAAGCTAAACACTCCTACACTGCACAGAGACAATAAAGAAAACCTTCAACAAACTTGTGTACAGCAGACGTACAGTAGTTCTTCATCAGATTCACGGACACGTTTTCTAAAAAGTTTACATAATTTTAAAAAGTTAACACGTTAGTTGGTATCACAGACAGCTGGTTTTATTTCATTTCTTGCATCCTCACATTTCCAAGATTCAGTGTAAGTGAAGCACTGCCGTGTTGATCATTATGAGGTCACAAATTATTTGAGTCTACATACAAAGAAGATTAATCAAATGGTAGAGGAGACTGTGAGGATGAAGACAGGGAGACATCAGGATGTCCTGAAAGATAACGTAGCTGTTGAAACTGCTGGTTTTCTCCAATCACTGCTTTGTACTGATGCTGCTTAATAATACCAGTGAAGAGGTGACTGTCAATTCTATATAAAGACTCTCACTTGTTTGTTTGTTTGTTTTTACTTGTCTTATCTATTTATACTTGAAGTAATGATAGTACTGAACTGTTTTATACTTCTTGTGCTCTTTTATCCAATCCATCACTGGATTTTCAACTCTTTGCAGTGAATACACCACGACGTCTCATCATCTGGCGATTACGTTTCACCAAACTAATCCCTCTTAAATAATTCCTCTTAAAACCTAAATATTATTAATTAATGGTAACCATCTACGTGGCTATAAATTATTTACTTTTTATTTCACAGTGGCAAATACGAATCCAGGTACAGGTTCAAATAAAAATCTCAGCTTCATTATTCATTAGTAAATCTTCGGCTACGAATACTTCCGCGATCCTCAGTCTGTCTCGTGTTACTCGTAAATATTCATCGGGTTCAGGAGTAAAACAATCGCTGGAATGTGTACAAATTAAACATTAAATCCTACGATTTCCTTCAAACTCTCTCTGTTTTATTGTCTCTGTCTAAACGAAGATGAGCCTTGTAAAAGATAAGTAAAATATCTTCAGTTTGTCGACAAAAGTCACGAGAATCGTCAGTGTGGAATGGACTTTGGCTCTTTGTTCCCCAAGTTTTCTTCCTGTTACGCCCACATCACAACCGAAAGTGTAACGCATTTTAGCTGTTTCTGTTAGATTTGTATAGTACATTAGTGAAATAAAGCCTACAAATGTATTACAGAGCAGCGTGTTAGGATGTGATATCATGCTGTCTGCGTTACTTATCTTCGGTAAGTACAGCAACATTTTCGTGTATACGACACAGCCTTTAGCTTAAGCTAACCCTTAGCTTAGGTTGTGTGCTAACTGAGCTATTTGTCTGTCCCAGGATATTAATATTCTTGTGTTTTCCTGTAGGATATGCCGCCGTCTTCATGGTGCCCGTGTTATCGTGTCGAACAAAGGAGTATAAAACAAATGATGGATGGTGCTGCCCGATGTGCAACAAAGGTAGGAAGAAAAGCATGACTGTAAATGTTAGTGATGGGTCGTTCGCAAACAAAATGGCTGTTAGAGCCGACTCTTTGACGTGAAAGACGCGAGCCGTCACGTGGTTTTTTTTTCTTTCTTTCACCCTCTCTCTTGCACTTTTTTTCCGCTTCACTCTGCACGCAAGCCTTGTGCTTCGCTGGGCAGAGGGGGGAGGGGTGGTAGTTACACTCAGTAGCACAGGAACAGAGCCAGAAGGAGAGAGAGAGAAAGAGAGCCAGGGACAACAACGTCACATTAGAAAGGTATAGTAATCATCCACAACTATTTCAGTTGCAGATAGAATTAGAATAGAATAGAATTCAATTTTATTGTCATTGCACATGCACAGGTACAGGGCAACGAAATGCAGTTTGCATCCATCCAGAAGTGCTTTAGTGATATAGATATATTACAATATATATTAGCAACAATATAGATATGTAAGTATATTACAGAAATGGGTCTATTATGGTATGTTATAATGTACACATATGAAGTATGTTGTGAATATTCTATAACTATAAGTATGTATAGGCTGTAGTGAGTACAAGCTATGTACAGGCTATGAACAGGATATAAATATGAAATAAAAAACTATACAGAAATCTGAGATATACAGCTATACAGAAATATGAACTATGCAAGTTATAAACAGTTGTAGGATTAAAGATTATTGAATGTACAGAATGATTATTTACACAGAGCTATACAGTAGTGCAGTTAAGATAAGTGAGATATGTGGGTAATTTCTACAGAGGCTATATAAAATGCTGGTGGTTGTGAGTGGTGGTTCAGTCCATGTTATTATTGTGTGTGTGTGTAGGTGGTTGTGTGTATGTTCAGTGCGTGTGTTAACGTGGGTCAGATGTCAGGAGGCAGAGTTCAGGAGTCTGACAGCTGTGGGGAAGAAGCTGTTCCGGTACCTGGTGGTCTTAGTCCGGAGGCTCCTGTGGCGCCTCCCAGAGGCAGGAGGGTGAAGAGTCCATGCGATGGGTGACTGGGGTCTTTGATGATTTTCCCAGCCCTTCAGCATTCCTCCTGTAGTCCACGATGAGCTCCTTGGTCTTCTCGGTGTTAAGCAGCAGGTTGTTTCTGTTGCATCACTCAGCCAGACGATCCACCTCCTCCCTGCAGGCGGCCTCATCGTTGTCACTGATGAGGCCAATCACTGTGGTGTCATCGGCAAACTTAATGATGGTGTTGGAACCATCAGCCGGTCTGCAGTCATGGGTGACGAGGGAGTAGAGGAAAGGGCTCATCACACAGCCTTGTGGTACACCGGTGTTCATTGTGATGGTAGATGAGCAGTGGTTATCCAGCCGGACACGTTGGGGGCGGTTGGTCAGGAAGTCCAGTAACCATTTGCAGATGAGTGAGCTGATGCCCAGGTCTGTCAGTTTCCTGATGAGTTGTGAGGGGTGGATTGTATTGAATGCTGAACTGAAGTCTATAAACAGCATCCTGGCGTAGGTGTTGTTGTTGTCCAGGTGTGAGAGGACAGAGTGCAGTGCGATGGAGACTGCATCCTCTGTGCTCCTGTTCTGGCGGTATGCGAATTGGTGGGGGTCCAGGGTGGGGGGGAGACAGGATTTGAAGTGTGCTAGGACCAGCTGCTCTAAGCACTTAGTGATGATGGGGGTGAGTGCTACTGGGCGGTAGTCATTGAGGCAAGATGGGTTGGAGTTTTTGGGTATCGGGACGATGGAGGTGGATTTGAAGCAGGCCGATACCACAGCGTGGGCCAAGGACAGGTTGAATATGTCTGTGAGCACTCCTGCAAGCTCCCCAGAACACGCTCTGAGAACACGCCCGGGGATGCCATCAGGACCTGCAGCCTTGTGGACATTGATCCTGCTCAGCACCGCTCCTACATCGGTGGGGGAGAGAGTCAGAGGTTGGTGGTCTGGCGTCACGTCTGCTTTGGTTGTGGTTGTGGGGTTCCCTCGCTCAAAACGAGCATAAAAGTTGTTGAGCTCATTAAGGAAGGAGACATCAGAGGATGCGGGGGAGGGTTTGGTGGTCCTGTAGTCTGTAATGGTCTGGAGTCCTTGCCACATGCGTCGGGGGTTGGAGTTGGAGAAGTGTTCTTCTACCTTCTTTTTGATAAAAGATGATAAAGGATTCAGAAAGTTTATTCATGCGGGCCCATATGACAGAGAATATGCATCTTCTTTTTGTTTTCATATTATAATTTATATTTAATTTTGTTGTGGTTTGCAGTGTTTTGTGTTGTTTTCACTTTAAATTTGTAAAAGGAAAAAGCTGAAAATTTAAATAGTTAAAAGTTGAAATGTGAATAGTTGATTTTTGTATTATATGATTTATTTATTACATTTTATGTGGAGTGAATAAATAAAAGTATATTTACGGTGGCCCCTAGAGATAAAGCACATACAAACTTCAAAGCACATACAAACTCTGAAGCACGTACAAGCAGTAAAATGAAGCACAAGTTGCATCACCAGCAATGGGAGACAATAGATGGAAAGGCAAGAAGTCGGTAGTGACCAAGAAACCTATGAAGTACATTCCATGGTTCTTAAAACAGTTAAGAAAGATTTACATGTAAATGTGTTAATAATGTCTGTTTAAACATGATTATTTTCATGTTACTTGAAATAAAATATCTCCCTCCGCTGTTACTGCAGCTTCTGCATAAGTGTCCATTTCACGCTTTGGAGAGGTAAAGCATGAAAGGGACACAGTGGACCGATGTGTCTGTTACACGTTTTGCTGTGATACTGGATCAGGAAACTGGGCCACATTGAATTTGTAGATCTGTAATGTTGTAGCTGCTTGACTTACTGTATATAACACCCAACACTACAACTACACAACTGTAGATTCACTCTGTGTTAAATGCTAAAAGTCTGACATAAATGTTGTGTTCTGTTGAACAGGTACAGTTGTTCAGAGAGACTGCACAGCATATGCAGGAACTCAGTGCTGTTCTTGTGAGATGGGGACCTTTATGAACCAACCCAACAGCCTGTATAACTGTTTCCCCTGCACTGCCTGTGACACAGGTACAGTCAGATGGGAAATCCTCTGTAAATTTTAAATTAAAAAAATAAAGCTTTCATTTAAAAGTAAATTACAGAAACATCATTTTACACTAATGTTTTTTGTTTTGTTTTTTTTAGGTCATGGTCTCTTTGTCAAGCAGAACTGTACAGCAACAACTGACACAGTGTGTGACGTTTTAAATGGATATTACTGCAAAGGTTTGACAGACAGTAACAGATGTAGTTTGACAGAGAAACATTCACAGTGTGAAGCTGGTCAGAGGATAAAAGAACCTGGTAAGAAAGTTTAAAGTCTAAGTCTATTTTTAAGATGAGCTGATAAACTGTGATTTTAAGTTTTTTGTTTTTTTTTCTGGATTGTGTGTAACAACGAATGTGTTTCTTTCAGGAACCAGCAGAAGTGACACAGTGTGTGAAGACTGTCAGCCAGGCTTTTTTTCCAAGGACGGTGTGAACTGCACAGGTTGGAAAACGTAGGTCATAATTTATATTCAAATCCCTCTAAAGGTGTATTATATACTCAGCTATTGATCATCAATGTCTTAATGGAATCTCCAATATCCTGGGCTGTGTCACATCACATTGCCTGCAGTAATACCAACATAAATCTCCATGTGATTTAGTGTCATACCAGAATATCATTGCTATAGCAACACCATGTGGCCATGTTCTCTTGTTTGTATATACAGTCGTATATTATCAATTATTAATTACCAATAATAATGTGGTGTCTCAGTAGCTATGTACTGATGATAATCATGATTTTAATAATATAATATCTATAGTGTGAAAGTCACATAGTGACAAATAATTGTCTAATTATTTGTTTTACACAGTCTTGCTACATTTAGTTTAATTATTTTGCCACAAAGACAAAATAAAGGTTTAAAAAACTTTGACTGTTGACTGTGTTTCTATAGATATTGCAATAATGATTATTTACGTGATTGGTGTGAAAATTGAATTATGACATGCCAATAAAATGTTAGTAAAATGATGAGAACTGGGTAATCACAGATAGAGTACTGGGTAGTTACAGGTAACTAGATATTAAAGTGGAACCAGCTACATTCCAGGACATGTTTGTCCTGCATATCTGAGCCACAGACAGACGACAGGACAGTTAAACAGTTAATATTGATGGTCACATTGTTACAAAGATCTTTACAGTGCAAACACAAATAAACACTGATAATAATGATTTATTTATATTTTATTTCTTTTTTGCCACAGTTGCTCTGAGAGCCAGATTAAAGTTGAAGAAGGAAACTCAACCAGTGACGTTGTCTGTAGAAGCGCATCAAGACATCGTAATTTTTTTATTTTATCTGTTGTGCTTTTCCTAATAATAGTAATTTGCCTTGTGACAACAGGATTTGTGAAAGCAAGGTAAGTGCCATCTAACCAGTGTCAAATCTGCTCCCTCTGCACAGCACCTACAGTCACTAACATGTTAATAACTCTGTTTTTTCAGGAAACCAGATAAGAGCAGAAAATAATTGCTCGGGGACTACCGATGATGCCTTAGAATGCAGACCTCATGTTCGCCATCTCTCCTCCATTTTGCTAGCAGGATTGATGTCCTGACATCGATGATGGCTTCACCTGGTTCGGGACTCACTGTCCAACGTGCCACTTACACAGATGTGCACAGCTGTTTAATCAAAGTGATGCTGCAGTCATCTGTTGAGGGTGCTGACCAGCCATCACCAATTTCTCTGCTCGATGCTCGCTCCACAAACCACTTATTCTAAACAATCTCCTCATCAAGGAGTCTCCAGACTTCATGCTGCTGACTGAGACATCGCAGCAGGACATGGATCATGTTTATTTTGAGGAGATCTGCACAGCTGGCATTTCCGTCATTGTAACTGGGTGTCTTTGGGGATGTGGCAGAGGACTTTCTGCTGTGTACCAGCACAGACTCACATGCAGGCTGATGAAGTCAGACTCTATTTCTTCATTTAAGTTACAGATGATTACCTTTTATTGTATTTCAGTCTACTGACCTCCTGGTGTTGCCAGAGTATTTTCAGCTGAATTCGGCGACCTTTCATCATTTATCATTACATTGGGGAAGGTTGTAATACTGAGATATTTTAACCTTCATATCGATGGATCCTGTAACTCAGCTGCTGAGTCTTTGAACTTTAAGCACCATGTTTCTGGCTCCACACATATAAAAGGCCACACGCTGGATCTTGCTTTCTCCCTGGGTTTAAAAACAAACGATGTATGTGTGAAAAATGTACATGTGACAGACCACAGCTGTATATTTTTTAGTCTGTCATTTGTTCTGGATCCTTCACTTCATAAATTGATGATTCAAAGGTGGATTATAAATCACAATCCTGCTGAGAGGGTCCCTGCCTTTTTTGATGCCAACATTACTCATAGTGAAGTTCACACATTTATTTTGTCCTTTAACAATGAATGTAGGTCTACTTTTGACCCACTAAAAGAAAGAATTGTCCAATATTCAAGTTTTTGTACTTGGAAAAATGAACATATTTATTATTTTAGGAGGTATTTGTACAAGTTGGAACATTTGTGGAAGGCGTCCAAGCTCCAGCTTCATGAGTTACATGTTAAAGAATCAGTTTCATCAAAAAATGCCAGAATAGACTATTTTTCACATCTTATTGCTTCAGAAAAGAAAACTCTTAGTCTTGTTTGATACAATTAACAATTTTTTCTCTCACAATATTCCTCACATACCAGTGTTTTTAAAGTCTGAGTGCAGTTTTTGCACTGTTTTATAATTAAGCTAATGATAAACAGGCTTAAGGACAAGTTTGGGTTTACTGGTGATGTTTTAATATGGCTCATGTCATATCTATCTGGGAGATCTTTTAGTGTTTTTATGAATTCAGTTATCTCTGAAACAACAGTTGTTCCTTCTGGGATACCTCAGGGGTCTGTTTTGGGTCAGATTCCTTGTTTGCTTCATGTTCTCCCTCTGGACCGAAATATTAGAACTCATTCATGCTGTGCAGATTCTGCTAACCGTTTAAAAGAGCTGCAGAACACATTTTTGTTCAAAGCTTGGTATTTTATGTTGTATTATATCTTTATGATATGTTATCCTTTTCTTTCTTGTATAATTGTGAGGCAGTTTATTTGTAAAAAGTTACAAAATGTAAATAAATTTTACTTACTCTCCTCTCTACTACACACGATACTGTGTCCTTGTTTTACAAGAAGAATTGAAGAATTGAACTGTAAAGTACTAACATAAGTAAGGTATTAGTTTTCAGACTCCTTCAAATTTACAGTTCAGATTAAAGAAAACTTGTAATGACTTTGTCTAATCCCAAACTTCTTCCTTGCTTTGCTTACTGTGCATTTAAAAATCAGCCTTTATGATGACTTTAGAGGACGTGGAGGTGTCAGTCCATCTGTTTTTTGTTTTTTTTTGTTTGTTTGTTTTTTGCTGTTCTGTTTGTTTTGAAGCCCTGACACAATATACATGATTTCCTGCACATGCCTCACGCTAAGTACATGCATTATACTGTGGAGTCCAAGTGTTCAGAGATATTTATGGTGAACTACATCAAGACTTCACCATTAATTTTAGGTCCTTTTTATTCTTCTCGAGAAAGCACCTCATTGGTCCCGTACTCATTTTACAACAAGAGAAGCTCAAATATAAACATAAGAGTCACAAACAACTACAACCACAATTCCATACAAGATGTTCAAAATATAAATAAAAACAATGCAATGATACTTACCTGTTGCTATGTAACCTGATGAGATGCTAAATGTTCCTCCAGCTGTTTCTGTTTGTTGCTACTTATTTCTTCAGCCTTCTGTTGCGCTAATCGCAATGTTTTTCAGAGCTCTTGTTGTCATTGAAATTTTTTTTCTTAAAATATATATAAAATATGGGTTTATGAGATACAAAAATAGTGTATTTAACATTCATAGTTCAAAACAGTAGTCATATAATGTATGAGCACTGTTTCTGAACTATAAAAGCTGAATTTATAACCAAATTAACAGTTTATCTGTGTTCTGTTGCTCCTCGTTGGTCATCACTGCCCTGCCTCTCCTGCTCTTGGCTGTGGGAGCTCTGTCTGGTTCCTCCATCTTCCCCCTGCTGGGGTGGAGGCACAGTTGTGATAGCGATGTGTGGCCTTGGGTTTTCAGCACTCATGGGGGACCCCAGATGGCCAGAGTCTCCTGGTTCTTTCTTCTCTGCCTCTGGCTCTCCCTGTTTTCTCTTTCAGGCACTGCTTATAAGTGTGCTTTGCTACAGATGCAGCAATTGGAGACCAGCATGTCTGCTTGTTTCATCCCCCACCCCACTTCTTTTCTCTTTCTTTCTCTCCCTTTTTTTTGTCTGTTCCTCTTTTTCCTTCTATCTTTTGCCAACCTGGCCTTCTCCTCCTGTCTGCTCCAGCATAATATCCACACAGATAATATAAAAATAATGAATAAATACAATAAAAATATTAATAAAAGGAGCCTACAGAGAGTCCATAGTGCTTCTCTTGGAAAGCAAATGTGTTTTGCACAACAAAGCAATCAGATCATGATTCTACAAACTACAAGTGTTTCATATGGCAGGTGTTTAAAAAAGATAATGTGCTGATCTGAATTTCCTTTAATACAAATACAACCAATAATTATAAATCATATAACAAACATAAATGCACCTATATTAGCCCAGTTTTTTCATATTTCACAAATGTTTGATTTTTTAGTGTAATCATGAACCTTAAAAAACCCCACACGCATCAATGCAACAGATTAAAAAAAGAAATCACCGAAACACTGAAAATGTTGCAGCTTCAATCCTCTTCCTCGGTCATCTCCATGGATACATCATGTTTGTTACCTGTGGGCAGAGTTAAGAAATCAGGATGGAGAACTGAAGTGGATGATTGGCGTATGTGTTGAAATCTAGATAAGAGAGTGTACCTCATTTCCTGCTGCAGCAGATCAACAGCAGCAGGATGGTAGAGATGAAGTATGGACAGAAAACCAGCAGGTGGCAGAAGAGTCTTAGTACAGACACAGAGGGTGAACGAGGACGAAGAGAGGAAGAGGCCGAAGGCTCAGTATTATCAGAGGACGAGGGTGAGGGTGAATGTGAGGGTGAGTGTGAGGGTGAGGGTGAAGGAGTGTACATTATGGTTGTGTGAGGGGGAGGAGGAGGCTCTGCAAGAGACATGATGAAGATGGTTCAGTTTATTATCAGGTCAGCAGTTTAGTTTATGCTTGTGAATGAATGCTTTTCTTATTTTAAGTTTCTCACTTCCTGGAGTAAAGAGAGAGAGGGATTAGTTTTAGATTTTTTTTGCCCCCGACTCATATCTTTAAAGCAGGAGTGATGTCGCTGCTCTGACCTTTGACCTTCAGCCTGCTTTGAGGAGACTGATGAATAAGAGTAGAACACGAGTAGAGCCCTTCATCAGACTGCTGCACATTATGGAGAATCCATTTTCCTTCAGGTCCATGTCCAAGTTTGTCTTTATCTCTGAAGAAATAAGATTTTTTTGCTGAACCGTTTCTGGGTTTGCAGAGCAGAGTGACATTACTTCCTGTGTTCACTGGAAGCGCTGGGATCTCCAGGATCAACTGTTTTTCTGACCAGCAGAGACAAACAGAGTCATTTAGAGACAGAGGTCCACAAAGCAGAGTCATACAGAGACAGCAAGACAGATGGGAACAGATCGCTTTCTGTACCTGAAACAGCGATGAAGACTTCATCGCTCTTCTGTCCAGATGAGTTTTCACACCAGAAACTTCCACCAGATGAGACGGAGAGATCCAGAACACAGAAGGAATTATTAAACCTTCTAAAGTCTGCAGCTGTACTACAGCCCTCAGTGGATACTCCTCTGGTCCTCTTTACTCTCCATCCATCAGCTGTCTGACCATCATCGACACAACTCAGGGAGACATAACGGTCTCCTTTGAAGAACTGCTGATGGTTTGGGCTGACATACAGAGAGACTGGAGGACAGACAGAAACACAGACGGACTAAATGTATTTGTATTATTGGTCGAGTGAATAATTTCACTTCCATAAACTCACCGGCAGAAACAGTCGGTGCAGACAGCAGCAGCACACACACACCTGCAACATGAAGACAGTCAATAAAGGTCAAAGGTCAGAGAGAGAGGAGTCTAAGTAAATTTTAGTAGTTATTCAAATTGCTGTGGGTAATAATACAGCTGTGGGATGACTATTCAATTCAGTTACATTTTATTTCTATAATACCAAAACAGTCACCTACTGACAGAGAAAACCCCAACGATCATGGTGAGGTTTTCTTCTCGAGTCATCTTTTATCCCCTCGCTTATTTATTCATTAGTTATTATTACTCTCTGGCTCCTCCACAGCATGTCTTTGGTCCCGTCTCCTTCCCCACACTTG